GGATAGGAAAGGTAGCAGAATACAACAGTTACTAATATGGCATTATGTAAAAACGTGGATGTGTAACCGATGTGATTCTGCAATCTGTATACGGGGTAAAAATGGGAGTTCATAACCCACTTGAATCAAATGTATGAAAWATGATATGTCAAGAGCTTTGTAATGTTTTGAACAACCAATAAAAAAATAAAATAAAATAAATAATATCAATAGCAAAAAAAAAAAAGAATCCCCTAGAGCCTGGAGGGGCTGGGGATGAGGCAGGCCCTGGCTGCAATCACCGGGACCACCAAAAAAAAAAAAAAAAAAAATCACCTGGAGATTTTGCTAAAAGGTGCAGATTCTATTCCTTAGGCCTGTGCCTCTGTATTTTTAACAAGTTCCCAGGTGATGCTGATGATGCTGGCTAGGAATATACTTTGAGAAGTTAGACTCTAAGGCGAAAGTAAATTGGGAGGCTCTCTGGAGCCTTGACTAGACATTCCAAAGACAAAAGGAAAGGGCCCTCCTTTGGATTATTTGTAACACTGCTTTTCTCAGCAGGGTAGGTAATTGATTGTTGTCCAATAAAAGCTTCAGTGATAAACGGCACCAGGCAGAAATGCCAAAACCCACTTGAATCAAAGTGTGAAATATGATATATCAAGAACTATGTAATGTTTTGAACAACCAACAATAAAAAAAGAAATGCCAAAACCACAGAACTTCACTATCCCCCCCCCCCCCCCCCCCCCCCCCGCCAAAGCCTATCTTTGATATTGGTGTCTTCATTCTGCAAAACACCTCTGTGAAATTTCTGCTTCCTCAGCTTTTGTTGGCTTCCAGGGAAGGCTTACTTTTTTGGAGCAAATGGGAATCTGGAGGCCCAAGTGGGCTATGGAGGTGCTGAGACAGCTCTCTCCAATCTCCCCTAGACTTACCCTGCCAGGGCCATCACCTCTGATCTGATTTCTACTGACCCTTGGGGTCCTGGAGGGCTAAGTTGGATAAAGATTATTTGAATTCCGGATACTTAGTTTCTTTTAGCCAAATTCTGAATAGAAGTCTAAAAACTTCTGGATCCATTTCTTGCCTCAGTTGCCTCCAAGACAGAAACTTCTGGACCTAAGTGTGATTTCAAATTGAGACAGGGAAGCAGATGGGCCTCACCGGCACCCTTGGCTGCTGTAARAAAAAAGGAGGAAGCCGGCTACGTCAAACCAAAAATCTCTGGCAACAGGGCTAGGCTGAAAAGTGTCTGCGGTAGCGTGGATGGCGGTGCTGCAGACTGGGACTTGGCGGGACTGGCCTGAGCAGGAGCTGGGGCGCTGCATGTGCCAGTGGACCCTCTGGGCACACCTATGAGCTGCTGACAGTGGAGGAGACCTCGGGCCTTGAGGGGCAGTGGGGCCAGGGCTGCAACGCCACTGGAAGAGACTTTTCTCCCTGGGCTGAGTTCTCCTCTCTTCCCCTACAATTCCTCCCCTGGGCTGTGCACTCGGGGCGAGCCCTCCAGAGTCAGACCCTACTGAAGAGACAGGCATCTGGGGATGGTCTGTGCATGGTCCAGGCTTGGCCAAGCACAGAGAGCGCCTAGATCTTCCACCTCTCTGCTTCCTGGCAGCTCTCCCTCCAAGCCGTGCCCTCCTTTGCTCCTTCCCTGCCTAGAACAGCTTCAGGGGTCTGGCTAGATTTCACTTTCTCCATGATGTCTATTTTCTCCTATTCAGTCTCCAAATTCATTCATTCTTTCAGGTGTGCCCTGTGTAGTCAGTCACCCCTGTTTATTGATTGTCTACTATCTGCCAGGCACTGTGCAGGACTCCCACATCCGCCTCCACTTTCTGCCCCTTAGCACCTCTGTTTACATAAATCTGCAGAGGCTGATTGCTTCATCTGTTCCCCGCCCCCCACCTAGTCTTTTCCCTGTCTCTCTCTTTTAAAATATTTTTAATTGTAGATGGCCACATTACCTTTATTTTTTTATTATTATTTTTTTTTTTTATGTGGTGCTGAGGATCAAACCCAGTGCCTCACACGTCCTAAGCAAGTGCTCTACCACTGGATTACATCCCCAGCCCTTTCCCATGTCTCTTAAAATAACCTCAATGTGGGCCCATCTCCCTCCTTGGGTGATAAGCAATCTAGACATGGGAGGGCTCAGTGCTTCCCAAAGATCTGAGTTTGAATCCTGGCCCTTAACTATCATGTGTAAACTGGGGTAGGTTAAGCCACAGCAGCCTCTGTTTCCTGATTTGCAATTTAAAAAAGAAAGAAAGAAAACACCTCTCCTAGAGTAAAGATCAAGTTGAGCTATCACATATCACRTACTTGGCACAGAGTTCATATCCTTTTAGAAATTCATATTCCTCGATCCTCTTTGGCACATAATTGGCCCTTTACAAATGCTTGGGATTGCCTATGAGGCTCTGTATTCTACTTGACCATGTTCCCTAGGGATACCTTGCTACTTTGCCTCTAAGTTCACCTACTTGTGTCCTTAGCCTATTTTTTTCTCCTTCTTTAAAAGAAAAAAGTTTCAAACCTCCATAACAGAAGAGAGAACTGTTTAATGAACACCTCACACCGGTCTCCAGTCTGTCTGGACCATCATCAGCCTTGTTACTCTGTTGACTCCCTACTCCTTCCACCCTTTTTTTTTAACCCCTGGAATATTTTAAAACAAATTCTAGTCATATCATTTCTCCTATCAGCACTCCAATGTGTATCTTTAACCAAGATACTAAAGAACGTAACCACAGTACTTTTTGTCCCATCTCCCAAAATAAAGAATTATTCATTTTGGGTATCTAGTACTCAGTCCATATTTTCATTTTTAAAATTGTCTCAAAAATGTCTTTTTCCTGTTGATTTGTTTGCCTCAGGGTCCCCAAGCATTCGGGCTCCTTCTGACTATAGGGTCTCTTAGGTATTTTTGCACCAGCCTCCTTTTGCATGTTCTGTTTTCTGTGGAAATGCCAGAACAACGGGGAAGTCATTACTTCCTGAAAAGTCTCTTCAGCTCACTTCCCTGAACCCTTCCCAAACAACATAGAAATAAGCATTTCCTTTTTTGGTCTTTTTTTTTTTTGGGGGGGGGAGGGATTAAATGATGAAAAGAGCTCCCTCCTTACAGCAGCTTTGAAATAAATGTATTCCTCTAACAGTTTTCAAATTTAAAAAGCACTCCAAGAGAAGCAGAAAGGCAGGATTTGCTTTAGTTCTTGTTTGAAAGGTAAAACTTTCTGGGAACTTTGTTCTTTCCAGAAAGACTTTTTTATGCCCTCCCACCTGCTCTTTGAAATCCACCAACCACAATATTTACTCCATCCCCCTTTTTCTCTCTCTCCCTTACACACTCCCCCTCTCTCTCTTTTTAGCAGCAACATACAAGTCGGCCATATTAGAGAGATGGAAATAAAGCTTCCTTAATGTTGTATATGTCTTTGAAGTACATCCGTGCATTTTCTTTTTTAGCATCTAACCATTCCTCCCCTGTAGTCCTTGGTCCCTCAAATCACCCTCTCCCATAGCCCACCCGCCTGACATCTCAGTCTCTGAAAATGCACAGGGATGCCTGGCTACCTCGCCCTGCCTTCAGTCTCACGGGGCTCAGTCTCTTTTTCACTTTGGGTAAGTTAGACCCACATCTGCATGCTCCCGAGGGTTCAGAAGTGCAGCTGCAGCTGGAGGAGGAGGGGGCGGGGGCAGGAAGGCAGACATTGTTAGCGCTTCCCTCCGTGTCCTTGGGAAAGGAGGTGCTGGGGACTTGGGGGGACGTTGCTGGGACTGCACAATGCTGGGACAACTTGRTCACAGAAATGTTGGGTCAGGGTATCTGAGTGTTGCTCAGGGATGAAAATGATCAAGGGAGGTGATTTTTTTTTTTTTTTTTTAATTTTCCCGAAGTGGACCGATGTGGGGGTGGGGCAGCCGGTAGGCTGATCTGCAGAGTCTCTTGGAAGATTTTTTGTTGTTGTTGTTGTGTAAATTTTTATCTTTTTAAAGCTGCTGGAAATATGGGGTCCTGGCACTTATGGCTTCTTTTAAGATTTCTTTCGTGAACCTTGATTTTTGAAATCTGGTGGACTTAGGGTWTAGGACAGACTGTGAGGGAGAGTGAGGAGTGGAAAGTTGAGTCTGGGTCTGGTTCCCTGGAAAATCTGCCCCACTGATTCGTTGGAATGTGTGTGGGAGTAGGTGGGAAGCAGGCTTGAGGAATGATCTCTGGATTGGGAGAACCGCTCAAGCAGGCACTGGGGGATGATGGAGAAGGCACCTTTGGTTTTGGCCAGATGGAATGAGGAGGGGTCAGGTGAAGAGATTCAGAAAAAGAGAAAGAGAGATAAATGGAACCCATGAGCTAAGCAAGGGTGTGGCCCTTTGAAACCAGGCTTGGAACTGTCCAGCAGTCTCATGGACTGCCCTGTCAAATTGGTCCCGAATGTCGATTTCATTTTGAACCACTCATAGACTTCCTGGTGAGCAGGTGGGCTAGAAAGTTAGCTGTCAACCTGCCTTGTGGATAGTTTCATTCTTGCTCCTAAACTTACTCATTGCTGGTGCAGCGACAGAGTCAAGTTCAAGAATTGTCGGTAGGAATGTTCCTCATCACCAAGTTTCTCTCTCCCTCTCTCCCTCTCTCCCTCTCTCTCTTTGTACCATGATATTGGGCAGGAATGCTAAGCAGAGACAGTCAGTGCCCCTGGTAGGACTGTATATAAGGCCTATTAGCTTTGTTGAATTATTTGGCACATGAACAACAGTACAGTTACGTTGTTAATAAGCTTAGAATTGGACCCAGGTTTGAAGCCAACGTAATTGTTTATTTAATGACATGGACAAGTTACTCAATCCCTTTGAGTTGCAGTTTTCTCGTGGGTTAACTGGAGGGTCCCTCTGCTGATTTAAGGATCTGGCACATAGCAGGGCCTCAATAATGGCTAACCTTTTAAGCCCTTTTTATGAGCCCAGACACAGTGTATCTTATTTAATTCTCACAGCAGTTGTATGAGGTAGATATGATTATTATACTCATGCTACAAGGGAGGAAATGGGCACAGAGAAGTGAAGTAACTGGCCCCCAAAGGGGAGCTGAGATTTGAACTCTCCTGTAGTCTGACTTCAGTACATCATCTTAAACGTTGGGCTCGACTGCCCCCAATGTCCAAGAAATGGTACTGCAGTACAAACTGTGATGGCAGAATCTCAAGTGCAGACTAAAGGGGGAATTGGGGGAAATAACCTGCATTTGAAGAGCCAGAGCTGGAGGAGAGGCACCTTTTCTCAGGAGTTAGGGGGAGCTTCCTTTCAGGGAAAGGCAACCAATGTAGAACTATACCTCAGCGAAGAAAGTAAGTGTTCAGTGATCAGGACAAGGAACCCTGGCTTAGGGGAAGGTGGACTCTGGGATGAAGAGATGGGGAGGAAGTTGTGAAGGGTCACGAGGAAGCTAAAGCTTCAACAGTCCTGAGTGAATAGGAATAAAGACTTTGAACTTGAACTTGGCTGGACCTTCGATGAGGCATGCCCCCGACCTCCAAGGCTGAGGGCTCTGGGAACAACAGAACTGGTGGTTGTAGTAGCATGGATCAGCAGGATGGAGGGATGCCACGAATGTTGATGAGGGGACTGTATCAGGGTGGGGCTTGGAGGGATGGCTGTAGAGCTGGTGAAGAGGAGGGCAGACTGGGCAACTGGTACCCACACAGAAGCACAGGAGGGTGGATCTTTTAGCTCAAAACATTCTTCCTTAGAGTTCTTCTCAAGATCCTTGAGTCTGCAGTCACTGGCCTGATTTCTGACGTCTGGGCTGTGTTAGGGGAGGCTCATAAAGTAGAACCTGGTCTTCACTCAAGCTTACTGCATGTATCTGCTACTGGCATCTGGGACCCAGATATGGAGGAGAAAAAGTCCTCTTTTTTTTTTATCAACAGAGTTTTATTGAGTGCCTGCTGTTCTGGGTGTCCAGGATACTAAGGTGAACAAGAATCAGTTCCCCAGAGCTTCTTAAGGGTCATAGGCACATAAACAAATAACAGCCATGCAAAATTGTATGTGCTATAATATCAGCAATAATGGTAATAAAGCAGCTACCTTTCATCAAGGGCTGTGAGCCAGGCCCTGTACTGAGCTTTATTCAAGGGGGAGGTCACTTAATCCTCAAAATGGTCCCAGGAGGCAGGCCCTATTGTATAGATGGTCCCCTATATCACTGATGAGGAAACAGGCCCTGGAAGGTTAACCATGTTGCCTAAGATCAGACAGGAGCACTGGAGCCCTAGTCTTGGCCACTGTGCCATTCTGCCTCCCAGTTGTGGGGAAGAGATAGGAACAGGCCTGACAGGGGGAGGACAAGAACACTGGGGAAGCTGTCACTCCGGCTATGCCTTCTGAGTTGGCATCTGAGGGATGCGTAGGCGAGCCCCAGAGAGAGGGTGAAAGAGCTTCCCAACCTGAAGCAAGAACATGAGCTAGGGCCTGGAGGAGGAAAATCAGGTGGTAGTCTCAGGAAAAGTCAGAACTCCAGGGTCACTGTAGTCAAAGATGAATGCAAGGACGGAGGCTGGCAGAAGAGGTTGGGATGTAGGTTGGTCCCAGATGGCAAAGGGCTTGGAAACTACGAGCACAGGAGCCTGGACTCAGTCCCTGAAAGCAGCAGGGAGCCATGGGAGGTTTGGAAGTGAGGGAGGATGAGGACAGGTTGATCCTGGCTGTGGGGAAATGGACAGGGCTGGGAGGGGAGAGCTGGGTTGGAGGGTCTGAATGGTGAGGAGGTGGGGCTGGACATCACACCCACCCGGGAGGCAGGGGCTGCCCAGGAGGAAATTTCTTGCTTACTCTGGTTTTTTTTTTTTTTTTTTTTTGAAACCTGAGACTAAAATAAACCTACATCTTAGGTTGTTACAGGATGGGAAAGAGGAGTGAAGAAAATTCACTTTTAGTCTCTGCAATAGTGTTTGGCAGATGACAAATTTTTCAGAGTGTCAGCAAGATAGGCCAGTTAGAATAGTGGATGATAAGTGGCCTGTGGGGGTCAGACATACTTTGGAAAGGGTGTGCCCATCACTGGGATGTTTTGGAGCTAAGAGCAAAAGCCACATCCTTACTGTATCCTGCTGATCAGAATTTCCTTTATGTGGTTTGGAGATCAGGAGACCCAGGCCTCAGACCTGTCCCCAAGGGGGACCATAGGAAGACTGTGAGCTCCTCTTGCAGGGAGGTTGCTTTAAACACCCTTCTGGTGAAGCTGCCTGGAGCTGGGGCTGGACCTACCAAGTAGCCATCAGACAACCTGGAATGACAATCACATCCCCTTCTGCTTGGACCCTCAGCACTGGAGCCAGGCCGTAAAACCTGAAATTTTAACTTAGTCATTTATAGCTGTGAACTTGGACTATTCACTGAACTTCTTTGTGCTCCTTTTCCTCATCTGGAAAGTGGGGTGATGACAGGTGACATTCACACAGTGCTAAACCATCACTGAGTACCGAGGCACTTTTTTGGTGTCCGTGTTTATTATAAAAGCCTCTCTGTGGGTCTAGATGAGCTACTTCCCTAAAGCAGCAGAATTAATCCTGAGACCCGGATTTTGCTCACAGCCCAGATCTCCAGCAATAGTTTCCCGATCTATAATAGGTCTTAGATGGTAGGGGGAGGCCCAGCCCCCAAAACTTCAGAGCCTGGTATGGTTCTGGTGAGGCCTCAGGCAGCATCTTGGAGGAGCATTCAGGAACTGTGATTCTGGCCTCCATTGTCCCTGTTCTCTGTGTCTCTTTTGTGATCCTTTTTTTTTTTTAAATCACAGGTAAAACCATGGTGTTAGRTCTCCAAGCCCCGAGAGATTCCCCCAGCTCTGGATTCCTTTGATTTGGTGACTCCCACCCACCTTCTCTCTCTCTGTAGATGGGACTTGATGTTTGACCCCTATGACCGCTAGAGGGCACTGCGCCTTGCCTGTTTCCTCCTGGCGCAGGGAGGGTGGAGCAGGGAGCCCGCAATGCACCTCTCTCTGTCCCCTGCTGTTAGCCAGGAAAGGCGTCTCTCCCGACAGCTCTGCCCTCTCCCGCAGCAGAGTGCAGGCTCCCTCGGGAGTGGGGAGCTGTCCAGTGGGGTTCAAGTTGGCATGTTGCCTGGGGCTGCTGGGGTGAGGCAGAGGAACAAGGAGGGTGGGACCCACAGGGCCAGTCAGGCTTCACAAAGCATTTTCTTTTTTTGGTGTGGACCCTGGGAAGTGACAGCCCTTCCAAGGGAAGGGGCTAGAGAAACAGGGCATTCCTGGGACAGAAAGTGAACTCAGGTCAGGACAAGCTGCCATGGGCTCCTTCCCTCAGATTTCTCAGGCTCTGCAGAGTGGGGGTGGTGTTGATATCTCCCGCACACTTGCCTGGCACATCCATTCAAAATGGCTATGAAAGTGAAGGAGTTGGGAACTGGGCTTTTCTCCTCCTGATTGGGGCCTGTTTAGCCCCTCTAGTTGGTACTCCCCTYATGAGCACTTAAATGCACATCTGGAGTCCTTGGCCCTTCAGGTGAGGTTTGAGAGGGCTTGGTGGAGACCCCCATGACCGGCAGTTCAGGGCCTTTCCTATCCTGAAGTCCTGTGGCTTGCCCTTGTCCCTCACCCATGCGGATGGGTTGAGCGGAAGGATGGCGGCTGAGCTCTGATAGGGGCTGCTGCCTCCAGGGTGGGGCTCAGTAGCTTTGTACAACAAACCTGAAAACCGGAAGCTTTGCAGTCTGCGTCTTTTGCCAGATCTGGGGGAATTCGAAGGGACTGGCTTGAGGGGTCAGTCTCCAATGTACTCTCAGGCCTCCAGGCTCCCTGCTGCTCCATCTCTGAAGCCCTTGCTATTCCTGCCACAGAACTCAGGAAAATCTAGGATAATAAAAGCCACTATTAGCTGAATACTTGGGGCTTATTTTAATTATCATAACTGAGGAGGAAGAGGAAGGTGAGAGAGGTGAGGGGCTTCCTGCGTTCTGCCCCTGATGGAGGTCTGAACTGGGAGCAGACCAAGTTTAATCGGGTCCCCTTGTCCATCACCAAATTACTTCTATAATTCTTATAGGCCCTCAGCTCTCTCCTTCTCCCCCTCAAGCTCTTTAATGTCTTCCTATTACTTTTAGAAGATGCCCAACTCTGTGCTCTGGCTCTTTGTGGCCTGGTCCCTACCTCACTCCCTGGCCTCAGGTCTTGCCATTCACTCCCTTGGTCACTCTGCTTGGTCTGCCTCAGATGTGTGAAGATCATTCCAGCCACAGAGACTTTGCCCTTGACATTCCCTGTGCCTCAGAACTSCATTCCCTCAAGACATCAAGAGGTTCACTTCCTCACTTGAGTTAGGCCCTGCCTGGAGGGCTGCTTCTCAGGTCACAGCATAGGGAACCCTCTGAATGAAACAGCTCCTGGCCCATCAGTTTACTCCTTAAGGCTCCGGCMAAGGAGCACTCCAGACAGTCTCATCCAGATTCTTTTCCTTGTGACTGACTGTCCCCCTCACCAGAATACAAGCTCCACGATGCARTGACTCTGTCCCACGGCAATCCCCAGGGCCTAGACTAAGTGCCTGGCACATAGCAAATGATTTATAAATATCTAATAAGATGGACATGGTGGTGCCCACCTGTAATCCCTGTGGCTCAGGAGGCTGAGGCAGGAGGATCGCAAGTTCCAAACCAGCCTCAGCAACTTAGCAAGGCCCTAAGCAGTGAGACCCTGTCTCTAAATAAAATACAAAAAAGGGCTGGGATGTGGCTCAGTGATTAAGCACCCCTAGGTTCAATCCCCAGTACCAAAAATGAATGAGTAAAAAAAAAATTTAAAAAATTAAAAATATCTGATAAATGAGTGAATGGCTGATGCTTCACATTACTGTTATTATTCTTTTTGGCGATGTTGGGATCGAAACCCAGGGCCTCACTAGGCAAGCACTCTGCCACTGAGCTACATCTCCAGCCCTGTTAATATTTGTTTACTCATTTGGGATGAGGTTTTGGCAGTATTGGCAGTTAAGGCCAGGACTCAGGGGAGGCATCATGTCTGGGGCACAACTTTTATGGGAGTATTTCTGTGACCCTGAAAGCAGGAGTCTCCTTAACTGTCACGTCCTATGCTCCTCACTTGCCTCCCCTAGACTGCCATGCTTAGAATGCTTGTGTGGGAAGGACTTTTCTCAGCTGTGACACCCCAACTCCCAGTCTCCTGGCCCAAGCCTGGTGCCTCTTATAGGACCGCGCGGAACCTGTGGTTCTCACCCTGCCACCTGTCAGCCTCTCACAGCTCTTCACTGTGATGTGGCCAGGCCTGGTTTCATCCCCATACCATCAGCAGGTCCTTGGAATGGTGCCTCTTCTTCTGGGGCACCCTCCCCTCCCACTGCTCATCCGCTCTCTTGTCTGCCTGTCGACCTAGGGAAGATGAGGTGGCCGGGCTGGGCTGGGACGCTGCGTCACCCTGTCCTGGGCAAGGACAGCAAGCAGTGCCTTCTGAATCTCCATGCATCCTCCTGGCCCATGGGGTCACTGCAGCCTTGGCTGAAAGGGTTTTGGCCCACAAAGATGGTTAAAGGGGTAAAGAAGAAGGGGGAAGCTGAGGCAAGCACAGTGAAGTCCCTTGTTCAGCTGACAAATGGCACCAAACAGACTGGGGCAGACAGCAGGGTTACCTTACCTCTTCCACATCCCCCGTGGCCCTCTCAGCCAGAATCCTCATCAGCCTGTGGCTTTTTCTTCAGTGCCACCAGGGCAGAGCATGGAAGTCACAGTCCCTACCGTCCTGAATATTCTCAATGGATCTGATGCCCGCCTGTCCTGCACCTTCAACTCCTGCTACACCGTGAACCACAAACAGTTCTCCCTGAACTGGACCTACCAGGAGTGTAACAACTGCTCGGAGGAGATGGTGAGTTCCTGGGGTGGGCAGGGGTGGGGGAAGCAGGAGCCTTCCGGCATGAAGCCTGCCTTTCCTACCACCTGCCCTTGCAGGTGCACTGGACCCAGAGGACCTGGGTGGGCTGTCTGCTGCTCAGGGCTTTGATGGGAGGCATGTCACCACACCTGCGTGGCCTTTCTGGGGGTAACTGTCTCTCCATCTCTGTGAAAGGGTGCATGGGTGGAGGGCACTTCTCACTGTCCTCGTAGTTCCTTGCTTGTGCAGCCACCCATCCTGTCCCCTGTCCCACTCCCCAGTTCCTCCAGTTCCGCATGAAGATCATTAACCTGAAGCTAGAGAGGTTCCGAGACCGTGTGGAGTTCTCAGGGAACCCCAGCAAGTACGATGTGTCAGTGACGCTGAAAAATGTGCAACTTGAGGACGAGGGCTTCTACAACTGCTACATCACGAACCCACCTGACCGCCACCGCGGCCACGGCAGGATCCAGCTGCAGGTCCTCTTGGAAGGTGAGAGGGGAGCCAGGCTGCTGTGGGGGTCCCTGACCTTTCTCTGTAGTAGTAGCTCAGGGTACCATGGGGAGGCCTTGCAGGGGATGGGCCATCTGTTTTCTTCTTCTGGTTCCCCAGGGAACGGATGTCAAGACAGTCCCTAGAATGGTGTGGACTGTGATGACCACCTTAATGATCCTGACATTTTTGGGTTATTGAGCACCAAATGTATTCCAGCCACCGGGCTGAACACACTTTGATTTATGCTTTATCTCATTGATCTTCCTGAAAACCTCCTGGGGGAGGGACTATTATCACCCCCATTTTACAGATGAGGACACCAGGGTGAGAAAGGGTAAGTTAACCTAAGGTCATACAGCTCATAAGGCATATATTTAGGACTCAATTTGGGGTCAGTCTGATCTCAAAGTCCTCACTGGTAGATAAGAGCTGCCTCCTCAGGGGGCTTTTTGGTGAGCTGGGATTTGGTGTGGTTCTTGGAGGTCAGTGGCCCCGATTGATTTTTGGCTTGGACTCAATTCCTGAGTCAAGTCGAGACCCCCCACAGCACACACAAGCGAGGAGACCTGGGCTGGCCAGGGGCCCCCTTTCCAGCCCCAGCTGAGTCAAACTGTTTCCTCCCCGCCCCCCCTCCCCCCCAGAGCCTCCGGAGCGGGACTCCACGGTCGCGGTGATCGTGGGGGCCTCCGTAGGGGGGTTCCTGGCTGTGGTCATCTTAGTGCTGATGGTGGTCAAGTGCGTGAGGAGGAAAAAGGAGCAAAAACTCAGCACCGATGACCTGAAGACCGAGGAGGACGGCAAGACGGATGGCGAGGGCAACGCGGATGACGGCGCCAAGTAACGGGCAGCCGCCCTGCAGCCCCTCCCCGCGTCCTGTCTCCTCCCACCTCTGCCCTGTACAGCGTGACCCTGCCTGCCCTCTTGGTGTGCTTTTCTTGAGCAGGACCCCAGGGTTGACCTGGGGCCTCCTGAACCCCTCACTTCCTACCCCACCACCCTGCACCAGGGGTGACCCACCTCTCTTCCATCTGAGAACCTGCCGTGGCGTCTGGGATGTGTGGGCCCGGGGGAGAGGACAGAAGGGGCTCCAACCTGCCAGTCTCTGCGAGGAGGCAGGAGGCCTGTGAGGTCCCACCGAGGATGGGGGAGGTGGGCAGTGGTGGTACAGCCGGGGCCTGGTCTGGCAATGGCTTCAGAGAGGGACTGAGGGGAGGGCGGGCTCTCCTGTGTTGAGCAGCCTTCTTGAGAAGGCTTGGGCTGTGGCCTCCGGCTGCTCAAGCCCAGAGCAACCCGTCAGGCTGGGGGTGAGGATGGAGTCCTGTTGTTGTGTGAGGGATCATGTGACAGGGATGATTGTGCATTTCTGAAGGAAAGCAGGGCTGGACAAACCTGGACTCAGCCTTGGCCCAGGGAGCTGGTGCTGGCCCTGGTTTCCATCACTAGCTGCTCCCCTAGGAGGCACCGGGTGTGTGGTTGGCTACTGATCCCTTGGGGATGTGGGTGAGGACAGTACCGGAAAAGCAGCTCCAGGAAGGGCTGTGCACCACCCTAGGGACCACCATCGTTGGCTGAGGGACTGAGAGGTGGGGTTCCATTGTGAATGAGGTTGGCAGCAGAGTGCCTGCTCCAACAGGGCCACTGTCCTCTCCTGAGCCAGGAGTAGCAGAGGCTCAGATACAAGGAGAAGGTACGTGTAGGAGGGCAGCTTGCTTTAGGGTTGTCCCCAATAGGGTTTCCATCTAGCTTTTGGCAAGAGGAAGGAAGGGAAGGCTGGAGGGACGTGTGAGAGGAGGCCATGGAGCCATAGAGCCCTGTGGCCTGCCTGGTCCATCTGGAGCCTTGTTCCTGCAGCCCCAGCAGCTCCTTTTGTGGGAAAGAAAGTAGCATTAGTGGGAAGCCAACTTTCACTGCCATTTACTCACCTTACAGTGGAATGGTTTGGGCCTGCAGAGAGGGAGTAAGCCAGGGACAAAAACTGCTGACTCAGAGAATATGACTTTGAAAGACTCTCAGAGGTCAACTAACTAAATCCCTCGAATGGGGAAACTGAGGTTTCAGGTGACAGAAACTGAGGGTCCTGCCCCCTTCTCTGGCCCCTTGGTTTCCAGTTTGAGTCCACAGAGCCATAGTTTTCCTGGAGGTGGAGCTTCTGGGGCCTGGTAGGGGGTAGGGACATTCATCCTTCTCCTTTCCCAGAAGCTCAGCCCGTCCTGCTCAGGGAGTTAGGTGTCCAGGGCAGGGAATGAGTCTGGGGAAAGGGGGTGGAGATGGCATCATGACAGTCTCAGGGATCAATCCCTGCCTCTGCCCATGAGATGGTCCATTTGGGGAGAGGGAAATAGCATATGGGAGATTCAGCTTAATTCACTTCAACAACCATTTATTAAGCATCTGCTCTGTGCCAGGCACCATGTGGGGTGCCAGGGGCACACACAAAGCCATAACAGAGTTGGGGACTGCCAGGTCAGCATTGTAGGACCAACATTAATTTTTTGGTGCATCTACTTCCACCTCTGTAGCCACTTCTTCTAGAACTAGAGTTAGGGGAGAAGGAAGGGATTTGAGAATCTGGGCCTTGGGAAGGGAAGAGGGAAGGTAGAGCTGAGACAAGAGTACAGAGGCCAGGGAGAGTGGGCACAGGACGAGGGACAGGTAAATAGCCAGAGAACTCCTGGGTGAGTCCAGCCCTTCTGGAAATTCTCAATTCATTAGCTCAGTACCTAACTGCCAATCAACACACTGCCAATGGGGGCGGGGAGCCACACCACCAGGATGCCTGGAGCAGGTGATGCCGCCCATCCTTCAAGCCACCCAGCTGGGAATGGAAAGGGTGGTGGGCACCTCAGCCAACTGAGACCAAGGGTGGTGGGATATACTTCTGCAGCTTGCAGATATAATCTTTGGGTCGTCTAGTACATGTCCCCTTGTCCCAGGATATGAGGATCTGCTCCAATGCTGGGAACTTTTCTTTTTCCAGGACTCATAACATTTAGGCAGATTGTTTGCAAGATTCCTTAGGTTCATTAAAAAAGTCCTAACTCTCCTTTAAAAAGCCCAAGACTCCCAGGATCTTTTCCTTCTTTTTCCTGACAGTGTGGGACCCAGGGAAAGCAATGCCTGTCCGTGGGCCCAGGGGCCCAAGCAGGTGGGGCTGGGTCAGGAGCCAGCTCTGTCCTAGGAGCTGGCCCTCATATGCTCTTAGACTTTCCTCCGGGGGGTCTCTGAACTGCCTCCCCCAGGCAGTGAGGTTGGGAGCAAACTGGGGCTTCTGTGAGTCGAGGTGGGGAACCGGTGAGATGTTTCCACAGCAGCTGAAACTCTGCCCTGCTTCCTAGGTTAGGCCAGCGAGCTGGTCCTCTCCCTGCAGTACACTAGCTCCACTTCTGGCTGCATGTTCCCACCACTGCACTCTGCTGGTTTCAGTCTGCTGGCTTCTCAGCCTCCCCTGCCTCTTCTGCTCTCTCACACCTCCCCCCCTCTGTCTCTCCCTCCTAATTAAGGGCCACTGCAAAGAGACTGGGCTGGCTAACTCATGGGATTTAGCTTGTAAGAACAAAGCACAATTTTTCAGGACTGAAATGCCTTGAGGTGCCTTGGAACTGGCTTTGGAAATAGCTATCTGCCCCTCTAGCTATGGACTCATCACAGTTATTCCCAATTGACAAGAAGGAGAAGTTGATTTGATCCACATTTCTCTCTGTGAGTCTCCTTGGAGGAGTTGGGCTGGTAAATATTGACAAGGTTAGGTTAAGCAGATTCATAATTGGAAATACTGGTCAGGTCCAAAAAGGTAGTCCCAGGTCATAGGAAATTGGAATGGGTGATTGAATCAAGAAATCTTCCTTCCTACTTGTGTCTTAAGGAAAGACAGCCTGTGTCCCTTGTTGTGCCTCTTGCTGATGTCTTCCTTTACTGAAGCTTGCTGATGCATTTGTACATAGCCTCTCTGTATAGGTATAGATATATTATATATACTAATATAAAACATCTCACGACACCCACCCCCAAACTTACATTGCGGGGAGAGGGTGTATTCACTTCTCAATGTTTTGAGTTGATTCACCAAAGGCAAATTATGGAATGTTCTTATTGCTTTTTGTGCACTTGGAGGGGGAAACCTGGCTGCATAAGTAGTACTTATGCACCTCTAGGGTTTACGTACTGCTTGCTGCGTGGTGGTTGGGAGGGGAGAGAAGTCTAAATGGTCCTCTGGGACCCGACTGCAGGGATGTTTCTGCTTCTGGGAGCAGACTGAGTTTCTTTGGCAGTTTGACTGATTGCTTGGATCTGTTGGCTACAATAAACACACTGTCTCCCCTGAACATCTCTTGAGTATAGCTTTTTTTCAGGGGTGCAGAGTGGGGTGGGTTGAGCCCTTGCCAGGCGCCTGGCGGGGAACCTGATGGGGAGCCGGGTGTACTTTCCCTGGTCATCTCATTGATGCTGCCAGATCTGCATCTGCGGAACTCAAAGCTTTTGCCTCACAAGGATGTCCATCTACTCCCCAGTTGTCTACAGATGTTTCAGCCCTTTGACTTTCCAGAATCCTGGAGGACTCTGCCCACCCTGGGAACTACCCTGGGATAGGGTGGCTGAGCTGCTACTTCTGGGAGGGCTCTTGATTATTTCTGAGTCAATCCTTAAACGCACAAGGCTAACTGTTCCATGGATGTTGCCTGTTCTTTCCATGGACAGATGGGCCATCCTTTCTGCTCCCTCTTTCTCAACAGTGTCTGACCAGGCAGACAGCTCTTGTGCCTGCTCTGGATTCTGGAAAAATAGATGACAGCTGGTCAGAGTGTGCCCTCATGCAACTTCACCAGGAGGGTGGCTGATGGGAAGAGTCAGGTTGCTCCTGTTCCATCTCCATATGCACAGCTCTGCCCTATTTACATAGTGCTGAGTCAGCCTTAAGAAGTTCAAGACCTTTCTCTCTCCTTTACACACACACACACACACACACACACACACACGCACACACACACACACACACACACACACACACACCCCTTGATAGATAAGAAAAGCTTCAACTTACTAAACAGCAAGGAAATACCTACTTTTCTCTTGTCTTCCATTTCTGTCTGCTCCCTGGTGACCCAGAGACCATGCTAACCCAGTGGTTAGTGGTGAGGAATACTCCAGTAGGCTCTCAGCACTGGTAGCTGTAACACCTGAAATCACTACAGCTGCTCCCTCAGCAAGATGACAGAAAGGAGGTGGCAGCATCAAACAAAAGTGGCTGGTGCACAACAGAACCCAAGCACCAGGCTGTGGGAGGATTCTGTTCTCTAGAACCTCAAGTCCTTCCAAGGGTGGGAGGTCAGGGAGGGTGCTTCTCTACCTAACAGGTAGGGAAATGGAATCAAGAGACATAAACATAGCAGAGGAGGTGCCAGGGAGGGAGTCTCTGGTTCCTTCTTGGGTAGACACAGATCCCCAATATTCAGCCAGGCCAACAGCAATTTACTCATTGGGCTTTTCTCCAAGAAYATTTGGAGAACCTGGGCTGAGCCTGGCTTCTGTGAGTTGGATTTGGCTCAGACACCTCTCCTAAAATGATGTTCTTTGGCCTGTTTGGGGCTGGGTGAGGTGGTTTTGTTTTGGATTTTGTTTTTGTGCAGTGCTAGGGTTCAAACCTAGGGACTCATGAATGCTAGATACGTGCTCCACCACTGAGCTCCATAGTTTTCCTTATTTTTCTTTTCTTTTTGATACCAGGGACTGAACCATTTAACCATTGAGCACATTCCCAGCTCAATGGTTATTTTTTATTTTTTGAATCAGGGTCTTATGAAGTTGCGTAGGGCCTCACTTAGTTCTGAGGCTGGCTTTGAACTTGTGATCCTCCTGCCTCAGCTTCCTGAGCCACTGGGATAACTACATAGTTTTCATTGCAGTGTGAGCTGCCTTGTTGGGGAAGGACTAGCTCCCACCCAGGTGCTCAGAGTTGGTCACCTGCTTCCTGTGTCCCTGACTTAAGAAGGAGGTCTAATCCCCACTCCTTCATCATCCCAATGGATAGCCAGAGTGGGATAGGAATCTGGAAGGAAAAGAATGGAGAAAGAAAATAGATATTTACAACATCAGAGATGAGAGGACCCCAGGAAATACCCCAGGCACCCCTTGCAATCCTGAAGGGAAAACTGAGAGCCATATTTGTTTAAGGCCACATGCTGCATTCAGCACAAAATTGTGATCTTGCAGCAGGCTCGCAATCTGCTGTTCTTCCACAGCCTACACTTAGGGCTGAGCCTAGCACTTGGCACAACACAGCCACATGAAGTCCAGGGTCCTGCCCAGCCCCTCCCCTGCTGGCCTGATCTAGAAGATGCGCTCACTCATGCTTCTCAGAGACACCAGGTGGCTTGTCCTCCACCCTTCCTATAGGCTCTCTCCCTGAAGCCCTGCTGATGTGTAGAGTGCCAATTACCTCTCAGGAGAGGCTCTGGCTACCTAGTGGAAGATGGGGGGGGGCGGGTAAGGACTCCCAGCTGAGACCCATATCCTGGTATCCTAACATGGTCCATAGATCTGGTGGGGAAGTCAATGGGGTCTGGCTTAGGACTCCAATCTCCTGCAGGACTGAGGGGACCTCTGGTTAGAAAAGGGGGGGAACTGTCCGGGTGGAGGTGGTGGAGATGAATAGGGAGTGGGAGGATAAACGAATTGGAGGTGAGAGGGTAGGCTGCCTGAGGATGCAGCTTTTCCTTTTCTTTCTTTCTTTTTGGTACCAGAGGTTGAGTCCAGGGGTGCTTTACCACTGAGCCACATCCCCAGTCCTTTTAAAAATTTTATTTAGATACAGGGCCTTGCTAATTTGCTGAGGCTGGCTTTGAACTCACGATCCTCTTGTCTCAGCCTCCTGAGCTGCTGGGATTACCATGCCTGGCCAGCTTTTCCCTTTCTCTGGTAGTAATGACCTTGAAAGTCCAAGAGGTGCTGGCAAAGGGGAGCAAGTGGACACTGGACACTTAGCCTGGCTACTTGGGATTCCATGGGAGGGGCTTTCCCTCAGAGTTCCGGCAAAGTCACCTTTACTCCAACCACAGCTGCCTCTGCTTCTCCACTGGGACAAATTCCCCATTAACAGGTGGCGAAGGGATGAGGAATGTTTGCCACAACAGACTGAGAGCCCTTCCTGTGGGGAAGTGGGCGGAAGGGGGAGGTGGTGTTGGCCAGGAGGGGAGGGTGTAGCAGACAGAGCTGCCAGTGCAGTGGCCTGACTGTGGCCACACTAGGGGATTAGACTTGTCCCATTCTGCCCCAGGGCAAAACACTAGGACTGGCTGCAGAGGCAGGTATTGATCGAATGTAAGTCGGAGCTGTGCTGAGTGTTGACTGTCCAAGGTAATGAGATCCCCATCCCGGAAGAAATTTAAACATAACTCGGGGGTGTCATTGAGAAGATTCATATATCAGAACATACTTTTAGATGGCCTTCAAAATTACTGACAATGGCCCTCAGCAGCCCTTATTTTAGGACACAAATGATAGAAGCAAGATTAACTCTTGCTTGCCTGAAGACAAATATGCTTCATGCCTGTCCCTTTACCATCTTACTCAGTCCTGGTCTCCCCCGGGCTACCTCAGTATCCTTGGACTCCTTTACCTAATTCTTCTTTACCCAATCTATCAATGGTGGGGGTGGGACGTGTTGGCAAACCCTTATATATAGTAAGAAATGGACTGGGAGAGGGTAGGAAATTTGAAGCCAGTGCCCTTGGGGAGCCTCTTTGTAAAGATCAGGCCCAGTTTATCTGCCTTCCTTGGCCAAAAGTCATAGAAAAGATTCCCCTTGTCTTTCCAGGCAAGACTGGATACAAAAGATAAAAGTCCTTTCTGCCACTTCCTCCCTGAACCCTCTCAGCTGTGCCAGTCTGCCACCGCCCCCCACAGCATGCTCACAGTAGCATGTGTGCCCCTGGAACTGACTCTTTTGGAAGAGCCAGAGMGCTGGTACCCCGGCCAGCACAGAACTGGGTGTTGTATGTCTGTTAGCTTACGGAATCCTCGGGGAAACCTCCCAAACACACATTCCTTTCTCAGTTTTGCAGTTGAGGAATCTGAAGTTCTGTTCTTCTGGATTGAGCATAAGTATAACCAAGGTGACATGGCTAGGCAACTGAACAGCAGGAGTCAAACACAGGGCCATGTGAGGCCAAAGCCTCACATCACACCATGAGAAAGGTCAGTGGCCTGGCTTCCTGTCCTTCCAGAGACTTGGGGGTGGGTGTGGGGGGTGATTGAACCAACCTCAAAATGACCAAGGACTGCGACAAAAGGGTAAGAGAGTCTGGGAGCAGAAGCCAAGCTTTCCCAGTGGGCCTCGGATAGCTCACCCCCACGCAGCCTGGCCCCTCGACCCCGTGGCTCTGTGCAAGCAGCAGTGGCCTCTGCTGGTCACCTTCTCTTCTCATGGCTTCTGACTCCTCTCCCTTCTTACTAAAAGCCTGTGAATCCTCTTCTCCACCTCTGGCCACTTCTTTCCCTGTCCCCACCCCTCCTCCTCAGCCTGAGTCACACTCCAACTTCCTGAAGTTGCCTTTTACCCCAGGAAGACTCCCCACTGCTTTTACATTCCCTCTCCCTCCTTCTCAGGTTCTCCTCTCTCCCTATTCTCTCCCTCCACCTCTCGAAGACCCCCACACACACTTTGTAAGACCCCCCTGCTCCCACACTAAAATGTTCACAAGGGACAAATGGACCAGGCAGTCCTGCCTCGTACTCCACACCATTTTGTGCTTCTGTCTCAGGTGCCCATTTCAGGGGCAGGACCAGGTCTAGGGTTCTAGGAGGACACCTGGCTATTCAGCTGACATGGCAGTTCCATGGGCAGCAGGCTGCAATGAATGACAAACATTTCCAATGCTTTCATCCTCCAACCCCCCTGAACCCCCTCCTCCATTGACAGGGCAGGGGGACATAGTGACCCACACAGCAGAGGTAAACACAGCTCTAGGCTGCTGGGTAGAGTGACCAAGACTGTGTACCAGGGGCTTCATACCCCACCCCAATGTGGCCCAGAATAAAGAGATGCCCAGGACTCACCCTATGTCTGAGCTGCAGCCAGGGAAGCAGATGCCTGCTCCTGGAAGTGGGCACACACCCCTCTCCAGCTTGGGACTGTCCGGTGAGCATCTCTGTGGTTGGGATATTTCAGCTCCCTCCTCCCTCTGCTCTCTTCCTTCCAATGAGCTCATCTGTCTGGGGCTCCCCATCCCCCTTTGAAAGGATGTTTGGACAGAACCTGGCAGAAAACAGAAGAGGAAGGGAGAATGGAGGAGGTGGCTGCCTACCTGTCTGTGCCC